CGAAACGCTCGTTTTGGAGACTTGACGCGCAACCCTCTGCGGAGATCGTGCGTGTCGAGTGTGCGAAATGCAGGCGAGAGTGCGATTTGTCCCATGCGCGCGCAACCCTCTGCGGAGATCGTGCGTGTCGAGTGCGCGAAATGCAGGCGAGAGTGCGATTTGTCCGGTGCCCGCACCACCCTCTGCGGAGATCGCGCGTGTCGAGTGCGCGAAATGCAGGCGAGAGCGTGATTTGTCCGGTGCCCGCGCAACTCTCTGCGGATCGTGCGTGTCGAGCGCGCGAAATTGCGGGCGAGCGCTGGCGAATTTGTAGTGCAGACTTTAGTACGCGGAGTATCTGGGGAGCTGGCAGATGAGAACTGGTGACTTGGTAGTACAACTTTTAGTACGCGGAGCGATCTGTGGAGCTGGAAGCTGAGAACTGGCGACCTTTAATAGGGTGGCTCCAAAGCTGGCAAGTCAAGCTTTGCGGAACGACGTGTGCGAGACGGTCTCGGGTCATGGTCGGGTCATGCTCGGAATGGTCCCTCCATTGTGGTTAGAGTTTTCACTTGTTTCTTGAAGTGCAGATTTCGTGGCAGGCGCAGCACTTTGTGAACCTCCATGTGCAGATTTCGTGACAGGCGCAGCGCTTTGTGAGCCTCCATGTGCATTCGTGGCAGGCGCAGCGCTTTGTGAACCACAGCATTTGCGGAGCTGGAAGCTGAGAACTCACTGAGAACTGGCGACTTTGTAGTGCAACTTTAGTACGCGGAGCAATCTGTGGAGCTGGAAGCTGACAACTGGCGACTTTGTAGTGCAACCTTAGTGCGCGGAGTATCTGGGGAGCTGGAAGATGAGAACTGGCGACTTTGTAGTACCACTTTAGTACGCGGAGCAATCTGTGGAGCTGGAAGCGGAGAACTGGCGACTTTGTAGTACAACTTTAGTACGCGGAGTATCTGGGGAGCTGGAAGATGAGAAATGGCGACTTTGTAGTGCAACTTTAGTACGCGGAGCAATCTGTGGAGCTGGAAGCTGAGAACTGGCGACTTTGTAGTGCAACTTTAGTACGCGGAGCAAGCTGTGGAGCTGGAAGCTGAGAACTGGCGAGTTTGTAGTGCAACTTTAGTACGCGGAGCAATCTGGGGAGCTGGAAGCGGAGAACTGGCGACTTCGTAGTACAACTTTAGTGCGCGGAGTATTTGGGTAGCTGGAAGATGAGAACTGGCGACTTTTGTAGTACAACTTTAGTACGCGGAGTATGTGGTGGGGAGCTGGAAGGTGAGAACTGGCGACTTTGTAGTACAACTTTAGTACGCGGAGCAATCTGTGGAGCTGGAAGCTGAGAATTGGCGACTCGGTAGTCATCTGTCGCAGCTGAGTCATCTCTCGCGGCTGGTCTGGCGCCCCTGCAGCTGAGTCATGTCTCCCGACCTCCCGGCTCTCTTGAGAGGTTGACAAATTTTAGCTGCTTTGCTTACTCAAAAGTTGTCACTTCAACTACTTTCTGGAGACCTCAAAGCACGTGTTTTGAGAGGTTGACAGTTTAAGCTAATTAGCTTCGTGTCTAGACAAGCTTTCACATCATAGTTAACGTCTAGCTCCAGTTAGCTTTAGTGGAGCTAGAGCTAGAGCTATGCTTCACTCATCACTCATCACTCATCATCACTCACGCGTCTTACTGAGGGACACGAGGGACATGGTGGAAAGAACAGGGACAGTCCTATAAGTCAGTTTGTTCTTATAGGAAACTTCCGCCGCCGGCTTGCCCGGGAACTAATTGTACGTAAGTAAAACACATGTTCATTCTCTTTCTTTCAGCCTCTGTACAATACCTGTAACCTCTCACGGCTCAGGCCTTGAGCACGACGACGTCGATCCCATGTCCCTGCTCCCCACGCTCCTCTCTCCCAGCGCCGCGTCGCCGCGAAGTGCCCCGGCAATGTGCAGTCTTTCGTAGGAGCAAAGGGCATCGCTACTAGGAGCAAGGACACTACTAGGGGCTCCTGGCCTCGCTACTAGGAGCAAGGACGCTACTAGTAACCAAAAGCTCTTTGTTTCTAATAGCAATGGCGTCCAACCTACACGTGATAGCCTCCAACCTGCTAGCGATGGCCTCCAACCTATTTCTTCTTTTAGACCATTCGTGAAACTGAGGAAATTGAATCTCTGTAATTAGTATTGTTTGGACGTTTGGATCTTTGGTGACTGTTTGTTTTCTTCAGTTTTTATGGAACGGCAACGTAAGAACTGGCTGGACTCTTGTCTATTTTTCCAGCACATCTCACCTGTTTTGGCTTCGTGGTCGTTCCTTCGCTCTCTTTTTCTTCAGGTGACGACGACAAAGGAAGCGCCGGGAATGGGGGTCCGTGTGGAGCTTCCAGCTTCTTCTCCGTCGATCCGTTCTTCAACGCGCGTCGTTGAAAGCGTCGCCAGTGAAGCAGTGCTTCTGGAGAACTTGGCCAGAAATGGTGAAAAGCGGTGTTCAGCAGCGCAGTCCAGACGATGTGTGCGTGTTGCTCAAAGTTTCTCGTTGTGGTGTGTTGCTTCATGTTGCGCAGATCGAGTGGAAGTAGTTCTGCGCAGCCAAAATGGAGCACGGTTCAAGGCAACCCATCCGACTCGTCGTAGGTCGTGTGATTAGGTCGGCGCCAGCGAACCCTTGGGGTCCGACCAGGTCGGACCTGTCGTCTTCTGCGGAACCGAAACAAGTTCTCGTTTGAAGCTATTACAATTAGATTTAAATTTCAATTAAATTAATAGCTTTTTGTTACTACTAGCGTGGCACCTGTTACTACTAGCGTGGCACTTGTTACTACTAGCAAGAAGCTACTAGTAACAAGTGCCTCGCTACTAGTAACAAGTGCCTTACTAGTAGTAACAAAAAGCTATTATTTTAATTTAATGTGATTGTAATAAAAAACAGTTTATGTTTCAAATATGCTATGTTGTATGTTGACGACGTAATTATTATCATCAGTATATCTCAAGGGTTTCTCAATCAGTTTAGTTGTGGGTATTTACAGTTTACAAGTTCTTGATATTGCTTAGTCTTTTTCATCCTCTTCTGTGTTCAGTCTCTTGTTTACTTTCAGCAATATCTTATTCTCAAACACATTGTCAATCATTGCACCAGCATATTGTTTAATAATCTTTGGTATTTGCCAGCTCATGAACTGGTTTTAGTTGTTTGGTATCATGTGTTGCAAAACATATTGCGCAACCAACTATTTGGCTTTCCAAAAACACTCAAGCCGATGAAATAGATTTGACCAATTGCTATGAAATCAAAATCTGATTAACCAAATGGTTCCATTTTAACATCGCCAAACTTATACCAAAAATCTTGTTTATTGTTATGGCATCACCCCTTCAAATTCGTGCAATAAACTAGTAGCAGGGCACGCAAATATAATTGCGCAGCCTCTATCAACCATTTTGTGGCAGATACGCCGTTTATATGACGTTTGCTTGCTCCTGCAAATAGTCTCCTAATCATTACGTGGTTCACTCTCTCAACTTTACTAGCAGTATCATTGGTATCATACGCATCGTTTTATTTTCTCTATTTTTTGTACTTCTACAATTTTATTTTCTACCACTTGCTAAAGATTGGGTAATTTAATATCCGCACACTTGCTCACTCAAACCTCCAACCTTATCAATAAAACCCACTTCTCTGGCCTTTTTTCGCGTTCAGCCTGGTTGGTGAAAGCATCAATCTTAACACGATATACTGTAATGCCAGCAAGCTTCAGTTTAAAGTAGGTTTTATACATTCAACAAATGCGACAATTTGTGTTAAAAGTTACAAATGGATCTTTTTCTCTCTGCTCCACGAGTCTTGGCTGGAGGCCCCAACTCTCCTGCACTTGCTGGAGTTTCATTCTTGGGAGGGGAATCGACCGGAAAACGTGATAAAACATCTTTTCCGGTCGACCGTCCTCCTGGCCTTTGCCAAAGGCTCCTAATCTGCAACACTTTACGGAAGTCAGTGGATTATCTATCGACCCTGCTCTCTTACCCTCTGTTGAAAGCTTCTACTCTCGTACACTTTGCTGTTTTTTCGAGTGAGATCAGCCATGGCACTGGAATTGTTGCAGTACATTTGGACCACTCCTTTTTGGCTTCACGTCATCAGCAGCGGCGCCCAGGACATATGGTCCACTATTTTACAACATCAGTTTCTGTATAAAGAAAATACAATGCATGTTCATAATTCACAGTATCTCCAGAAACATGAAACGTGGGGCCTGACAGCGTCCCTTTCTGAACCCACGTCAACGCCCGGTTTCCACCGATTTTCATGTTCATCATGTTCTGTTTTGACGCAATTTGAGAACATGACAAGCTGCCGTAAACTTCCTGGAATTTGGTATGATTTGTTCTGTTGAAGTTGCTGGTAACCCTGGTAGGCGCTCTGGTTGTGCCGTTGGCTGTGTTGCGCTCGCATTCCTTCACAGAGATGTACATTTGTTCTCGAGTGTGTCCACTTTCTGGCAACTCCTTCGTAACAATTCTTTACATGCAAGTGTGCTTGCTTTCTGGCAACTCGTTACGTTGCAATTCTTGAAATTTGTCCCCCAGTCTGGTAGTGCGTTCGCCTATTCTATATTCTTTATAGCAATGTTCAATAGCAACAAGAAGCTACTAGAAACAAGTGCATCGCTACTAGTAACAAGTGCCTTACTAGTAGTAACAAGAAGCTAGTTCTTTATATTTCCCTCCGAGTCTGGGCTACTGCGTCCACTTTCTGGCAAAGGCAATGCCTTCCAATGGTCATTTTTCAAGATGCAGACTCACGGCGGTCAACTGTTTGGAGTCTACGGTGGTGCAATTTGCATTTAGAAGATCTAGGGCCTTGATAAAACGAAGAAGGGGAACACACAAAATCTACAGGTCAAAGCAGAAAGAACAATTTCACAAAAAACACACCTAAATTTTTGTTGTTTGCAAGAACAAAAGGAGGGTAATCACTTCAAGACGAAAATTGTGACGACATGAATTGATGCTTTGAGGCAAAGTCCATCAGTCGCCGGCTCAGTGATGCTTTTGAGAAAGATTTGTTGAGATCATGTGTTTTGTATGTTGAGATTTGTCGAATAGAAAGGCACGGAAAGGGGAGATCTAGTAGGAAAGGGCATCGCTACTAGAAACAAAAAACTATTAGTAGCGATGCAGAATAGACTTTGAAACCTTTTACTCAAACACCTCGGGGAAACAGAGTCGGCGGAGTTGGCGACATCGGGTGAGGCTGGATTTGGGGCGCCTTGGCCGATTTGGTCGCGGCCAAGCTCTCAAACTGGACAGGAATTAACTGCGATGCTTTGTTGCCTGCGAAGCTACTAGTAACAATGTTCGCTACTAGGAACAAGTGCATCGCTAGTAGTAACAAGTGCCACGCTAGTAGTAACAAGTGCCTTACTAGTAGTAACAAGAAGCACTTGGAGTTCCGACAAGAATCCACACTTGCAACTACTTGTTACTACTAGTAAGGCACCTGTTACTACTAGCGATGCACTTGTTACTACTAGCTTCTTGTTACTACTAGTAAGGCACCTGTTACTAGATCAATAGTCTAATTTGCAAGGTACTAGACGGTGGCTTCGTAGCAGGGAGCAACTGTTACTGTTAAGCCGAGGCAACCGCTGCTGTGCTGGTGGCCTTTGTCCGAGATTCCTCAAGGCATTCAGCGGGTTCTGAGGGTTTGTGTGGAGATGGTGGCTTGCAAAGCTTCCTTCAAGAAAGACAAGGAACCAACGACCTTTTTTGCTTCAACCTTTGGACAAAATGGAAGGCAAATCAAGACCGAGGCCAGGACTGACTCTGCCCGATTCTTAAAGAGTTCCAAATTCTGGAAGTGAAATTCGGACCTCAGACTGGAGGTTTTAAACTCAGTGTTGCCCCCTAGGCAGGCCTGGGTGATGTTGAATTCCTGAGCACCAGGAGAGCTTTCCACTGCGGTGCATCTCTTTGTTCGCCGCTCTATACTTCCTCTTCTCCTCTGCAGGCCGATTGACGGGCTGAATTTGTGTGGTTTGTGGTTTTGTTACCCTTTTTTCTCAGGAAGACGTGGCCAGGGAGTCGTCCAGGCTGTCCTAAGCCACACTTCCCTTGCAGAGGCCTTAGGCGAAAAAGAAGAAACGTCCGCATGGGAATTGGACATGCACACATTTCTTTCAAGGCCAGCCTTGGAAAGTACACACTCTACGTGTATCTCTTCCAGGAGCCTTTGTTTAGGCTTGGGGTCTTTGAAAGTTTCACTCCATAACGACCTTGCATGGAACCTCATTCAAGAACCATTTTTAAAACACAAACTCCTTCACCCAAATTAGGTTGGAGCTACCAGGTTGGAGGCCATCGCTACTAGGTTGGAGGCTATTCCTACTAGTTTGGAGGCCATCGCTATATGAGCTCCTTCACTCTAAATCTCAATGTTGGATGCTTTTAGGAACCTCAGCAAATCCAAATGAGAGCTGCTATATGGGGCACAGAGATTTGTGCATTTAGTGTTTCGGCCAATTTCCTTCTGCGACTTGCCCTTTTCTAAAGTTTTGGTGCGGAAGTGATTGAAATTTGCATGTAGTGTGGAAGGTATACTTATCCACCACCTTTCTGATAAGTATGTAGATTCTTGCGTCCTTTTGTAGTTCTTGGACGATAGACCTGGTCAGGTCGATAGACCTGGTGGTTCCGCTTCAGCACTCGGCCGAAGGCTTCGTTGCAGCCTAAGGCTTCGAAGGCGTTGAGATACTTCGAGCAGGAACACACTCTACTTCAGTGTTGCACTGCAAAGCGCTACTTGCGATGGCACTCTTTTCGGAGAAAATGAAGGCTAGTTATTATGAAAGCACTCTTTTCTCGACCAGTCACAGATCCTTGCATGCAAGGATAGTTAGAAGGACTTTGGTCACTACATTCTGTAAGCTGAGAGTTTTGTTTTTCAACTATATAAACTCATTTGCTCATGTTGCTAACGTTTTTCCAGGCGTTACTCAATGCAATGATTCCCGTTGAGGTCTTCTTTGTCCTTCTCTTGTGGCTCATCGCTGGGCTCTATGCAGAGCATGCCAGGAACCCAGCACGGCTCAGCATGGTGGACCATGGCGCAACAGCATCGCTTGTTCGTTTATTTCGCATGTCTACTATACTATCCTCTTTTCTTTGATGCTTCTGTCCTAACAGCGATGGCCTCCAATCCAACCTACTTGCGATGGCCTCCAATCTAATAGCGATGGCCTCATATGGCCTCCATGTCTATCTTCTTTTCTTTAATCCTTATTTTATTTCAGTTTTGTTCTCAAACCTCGTGGCATGATCCAGTGGCGTCAGCCTTTGTTTTGTCTCCAGTTCAAGCATGTCTACCCACTTGGCTTGGCTGCAGCAACTGATCCTCAGGTAGAACTATGGCTCTTGCAGCTGCTTGGACTGCGCTGACTTAGGATGAATGTACTGGGCTTTCTGTAGCACGCGAAGAGGCACCACCGCCCTTCAAAGTTTGGCTAGCCTCACCTACAAGCTCAATTGATAGCAGTGATGATGCCTTTTGACATCCCCAATGAGCATTTCAGGATGGTTTACATGCACGAGATTCCTGAGAGCAGAGATGAGTTCTCATGAGTGCGTTTCACTTGGAGTTGATGTGTTCACCTCAAGTGGAACAAAAGGGAACGGCTGTGTCGCATGTCTGTCGCGGCTGTTTAACCTAGACTGAACTGAGTATCAGCTCGCAGGTCACATCAAGTAAGGGTGGATCTTACCTAGCAATGGCCTCCAACCTACTAGCGATGGCAGCGATGGCCTCCAACCCAGTAGCATTCTTGTTACTAGTAATGCCAGGAGCTACTAGTAGCGTTCTTGCTACTAGTAGTGATGCCCTTGTTACTAGAAGCGATGGCCTCCGAAAAGCGACTTCGAAATCCTTCCTTTTGTGGGACTTCGAAAAGCGAGAAATGCGTCGCGCCGAGAAAGACGACTCGCCGTTGCATGTCCACGAACACAGACAGTGCGATCCAACTGAGCCACAAACAAGTCTGTTCGAGACCGGCTCTTCATGAAGAGCCCTCAGCTGCTTTAGAAGTCTAAAGACTTTACGTTTACAGCCGGACGCCGGCTGTGGCACACTCCCTTTGTCTGAAGTCTTTTTCCATGACTTCCGCACAACGACGTTGCTCGTCCCCTCACTATGAATTGACTGAAAGACATCGGCTGTTGCTACTCCTTGGCACTGCCGCTCGCCTGGAAGGGACCCATTCCTTTTTCAGTACGTGCGTGTGGAGCTTGAGCTTTGTTGCAGCGCGTGGAGAGAAAACGCCGGACGCCCTGCGTTCTGTCATCTGCGTTCTGCTCTTTGCAGCGCGTGGACCATGGAAACATTCCGATGGACCGTTGGAATGGAGACTGGGGAAATGTTCGCAATGCTCTTCTACAGTGTTTTGTCAGTGTCAAGCACCACCAGCGAACATGCCGACGAATCCTGCTCCCAATTCCCAGAGAAAATATTAGACTTGCACCACAAGCATCCGCAAACCATATGTCACGATCCATTTCACTCACCTTGTTGCTGTAGAGTTGGGATGTCGGGCAGTCCATCGTGTGCGAAACCGTCGGTTGTCGCACGAGACGGTGAATTCCTTCATTCCGCTGCGAGCCAGACAAAGGCTCTCTTACTGCAATTACCTTTATGCATAAAGAATGCTTCTTCAAATAAGAATCATTACAGCATTCCGCAGACTGCCAGTGTTGTACTATCCATCTATCCATGATCTACAGCTGTCAAATAGACTTGCCAATTAAACATCTTGGAGGTTTTGCCTCAACGGTTTGGCAATCCTTCAACCCATGAGCAATCTCTGCGCAAACACATGAGCATTTTTACTATATCTTCTCTGCGCAAACACCGTTTCGGCCAAACTATTGTTTTGATTGGCCAACTTCGTTTGCTCAAAGGATGCATCGAGATCCTTTCATTCTGAATGTTTCCTATCGCTGATCGTGAACTGGTGGATAGTTCTAACTGAAGAGCGTCTTGCGGTGGCGGACACAATGTACTGCAGACCCCATGATCCGTCAAGTGTAGGTCAGGCTCCCATTCGTCGAATGAGATATGTCGCAACAACGAAAGACAGCACCCACCGAAGCTGTGCCGCAATTCCCACAACTTGCACACTTTTGATGCTGGAAGCAGGGCAAAGCTGCCGGTTTATGGCACCGGCCGTAGAGATTTTGGAGATACGTTTGAAGACCGCTCTGGAAGACGAAAAGAGAAGACGAGTATGAAGCGAGTGGTGCGCCCTCGCCCGCAGACGTGAGAGCTAGTGATGGAAACCGATCCCAGGCACCCGTGTAAGTGTTTTTTCAGGTAAGTAGTAACAAGTGCCACGCTACTAGTAACAAGTGCCTTACTAGTAGTAACAAAAAGAATTCAATTAGAATTGTAATTACTAGCAAAGGAATCTACTAGGAATGCACTTGTTACTAGAAGCGATGCACTTGTTCCTAGTAGCTTCTTGTTACTACTAGTAAGGCACTTGTTACTAGAAGCGATGCACTTGTTCCTAGTAGCTTTTTTTCAACATTTATGCAATTCCGACTGTAATTTGATGCACTTGCTATGAATTGGACCGGAAAATCCCATGTTGACATGTTGAATACATGATGGAAAGAAGGTGGTAAGACAGGAAAGGAGAAACATATGTTTTGTTACATGAGTGCCATAAGCTGACTGTTGATTTGATGAATGATAATTCTTGGGATGCGTTTATCATTATCTCAAGCAATTGGAAGTTTGGTGTTTGAGTTGGTGTTCGTGGTCTGGCTGGTTCGTTATAGGTGTCATGATTTGTGATGGTAGACGAGTGACCTCTTCGAGCCGAGTGTTTCACCTGTACAAGACTAGGACTAGCCTGATACCCCCCCCCACCCTTGCGACTATCTGTCAAGCAAAAGGCATTGCTCACTGCTACTATTCCTCCAGTTATATCCACCATGCACGCCTACTCCTCTCCTGAGACGGCCTTGCCGCCACAAACGGCAGCTGCGCTCCCTCCGCTTTGGAGTTAGTTTTCTGATATTGTAGCGTTGGTGAAGCCAAGCGAACTCGCCGTGAAAATCTTCACAGCATAGCCGACAGTGATCAGGCTGGATGCCTTGAGAATCCGCCATTCCTTTTAGTACAGCGCTGGGAAGATGCGTCGATGCGATGCCTGCAGTTTTCATCACCGCAACTTGCACCAACGGCAACAGAAAGGCGCACGGAAGCTCCAGGCCCTCGCGCGCACTCAACTGGTGCAGGTGCACTGCATCTCCTTCCATACTTGCTCCCATCAGCTAGTTGAAGTGACTTATCGAGTCGCTCCCATGTTTAGATGCTCGGCAAGTGCTCTTGTGCAAGGCCTTTTAATGTTGCAGCCGAAGGTGACCCAAGTCGAAGAACGAGACATTTGTTGACCTTGTTTGTGAGTTTGCAGCTGAACGCGCCCGCAGCATGCATCCACCCTAACCATACCCTAACCATTGGGTTTACCCGCCGGACACGGAACACGTGCAGAGCCGAACTCCACGTAGCTTTAGGGTTCGGCCTCGGTCGTTGGGGATCTAGGCCGCCTGCTCAGGCGGCCCTTCCAGTTCGGGTTTTCCACGTGGGCGGGGGCGGAAGCCACCAAGCTCAACCCACGCACACTATCCTTTCCGTTGACCAGCAGCAGGGCGTATGACCATATTTCCCCAAACGCCATGCTGGAAGCGCCCTGCAGAGCACCGCAAACCAATGCCTCACATGTTCTATGCCACTCCCCTCACATTTGGCATACTGCCACCCAACCACACTAGTAACAGGTGCCTTACTAGTAGTAACAATGTTCGCTAGTAGGAACAAGTGCCACGCTAGTAGTAACAGGTGCCTTACTAGTAGTAACAAGGTTCGCGATCCAACCAAGCGAAGGTGGCGATCACTGCAAGGGTTACGCCAGGCCCTACAAGAGGTACACGGCCGCCTCGCAGGTGACGCCGTTTACAAACATTTGCGTCGTGCCACCAGCTTCAGGCACGCCCAAACAGCGTTGAACAGTGGCGAGCATACGGTTTTCATGAAAGTGCCGATCAATGCCGCCGGGCTCACGGATCTGATCTTTTCCCTGGCTTTCTTTCGTTTGTACACGTGCGCACCTCGACGAAAGTGGCTAATATAAAAGCAGTCGCCGCCCAGAGGTAGAGCGTCTGTGAGCGAAAGGAAGGTGGGGGAAAAGAACGTAGAGCTCCAACGCCGTCACCTTGTTGTTCAAGCACACATAGGCGCCCCAGCCGCCGCACACAGAGATTGCAGAGCAGCGGGCGTCAGCGTGCAGCGGGACGCGCCAACCTTCATGGACCCCTTTTAGTGGAGAGTTTCCATCGCGAGAGCTGCGATACCATTGTCGAACGCCTTGGCTCGCCCTCGCTGCAACGCATGTTGAGAGTCACAAAAAATGGGCGGAGGAAGGCTACATGAGCCAGCGTCTCGGCAAAAGATGTGCTTTCTCCAGATGCCATCGCATGTTGGATTTCTCAACGACAAACCCGGCTGTTCCAACGTGAGGGGTTGGCAGATGCCATCAACAAGTTTTGCGAAAGGCCTGATGCGCCTGCAGCTGACCTCCTGCAGGGATTTGATGCCACAAATGGCATGGTTGTCACCCGCTTGATGAACCTCAGATCTGACAAGGACTTGTTCCAAGTTTTGTGAGCGTTGATCGTTGTTTTCGTTCCTAGAATTCCTTGAAGCGTTTGCGCACTGCTTTGTGGACAGCCATCATAGATGCCTCTGTATACATTGGCTGCAGCACCTCTGCCGATCTCCATGGAGAGATCGATGTTTATTTTCGCGTTCTCCAATTGGATATCTTCAAGTTTGGGTGCTTCTTCCTTCATGTGGAGAAGTGCATAGAACACATTGCGGTGTTTAAAAAAACTATCCCGGCAAGACACCCCAAACAGTGCGTGTGCGTGAGGTCTTGCAAGCAGAAAGTCTGGAGATCTAGACGCGTTGGCGTCCAGAGGTGGTGGTGGTGATGAAGGTGGGGATCGTGGTGACGGTGGCGGTGGTGGTGATTGAGTGAGTGAATTTGAGTGTGAGCGTGAGCGAGTGAGAGTGATGGTGGGTGTGACTGGGTGTGGGTGAGAGTGAGTGTGGGTGAGAGTAAGTGCGGGTGAGAGCGAGAGCGTGAGGGAGTGTGAGTGTGTGTCCACACTGTTTAAGGAACTAGACGACGGTTGGCCCGAGAGCGAGACATGTAATTGTCCAGCACTGTCAAAAAGATGTGAAGAGAGAGAAAGAGAGGGTGGATGTGAAGGAGTGACAGTGTGATGTGCAGGTGCGATATAGATCTGTAGATGTATGGAGGTGGAGAGGTAGATCTGTGGATGTGAGCGTGCGAAGATGTAAATGCACAGAGACGAGAGAAAAGATATGTAGAAAGAAAGAAAGACAGGACAGATGTGAAGAAGCGACAGTGTGGATGTACAGATGTGATATAGATGTGCAGATGTGTGGGTGTGGTGAGGTGGAGAGGTAGATCTGCGGATGTGAGCGTGTGAAGATGTAAATGTAGAGAGGTGAGGGGGTGTAGACGTAGATGCGTCGATGCAACGGCAGTGCAACGTCAACTTTAGTCGTGCAAGTACAACGCTGAAGAGGTTCAACTAGAACTGAAGAACGCACATTTCACACTGAAATTTCCACGAGCAGGGCGACCTGAGAGTAAACGACGTCACGATCATGACAAGCGACTCGTGTATTCCAAGCAAACATCGTTTGTCATGAAGGTGAAGTACACACATATTAACGTCACGATGACTCTTTTGTGGCAGCCACTTATGAGTAAGCAAAGTAGCTAAAATTTGTCAACCTCTCAAGAGATCCGGGTGGTCGGGAGACATGACTCAGCTGCAGGGGCGCCAGAGCAGCCGCGAGAGATGACTCAGCCGCGAGAGAAATCTGCTCGCGTACTCAAGTTGTACTACAAAGTCGTCAGTTCTCAGCTTCCAGCTCCACAGCTAAAGTTGTACTACAAAGTCGCCAGTTCTCATCTTCCAGCTCCCCAGATACTCTGCGTACTAAAGTTGTACTAGAAAGTCGCCAGTTCTGATCTTCCAGCTCCCCAGATAGTCCGCGTATTAAAGTTGTACCACAAAGTCGCCAGTTCCCAGCTTCCAGCTCCACAGATTTCTCCGCGTACTACAAAATCGCCAGTTCTCATCTTCCAGCTCCCCAGATACTCTGCGTACTCAAGTTGTACTACAAAATCGCCAGTTCTCGGCTTCCAGCTCCACAGATTGCTCCGCGTACTAAAGTTGTACCACAAAGTCGCCAGTTCTCAGCTTCCAGCTCCCCAGAGTGCTCCGCGTACTAAAGTTGCACTACAAAGTCGCCAGTTCTCAGCTTCCAGCTCCACAGATTGCTCCGCGTACTAAAGTGGTACTAGAAAGTCGCCAGTTCTCATCTTCCAGCTCCCCAAATACTCCGCGCACTAAAGTTGTACTACAAAGTCGCCAGTTCTCATCTTCCAGCTCCCCAGATTGCTCCGCGTACTAAAGTTGGACTACAAAGTCGCCAGTTCTCAGCTTCCAGTTCCCCAGACACTCCGCGTACGCAAGTTGTCTTACAAAGTCGCCAGTTCTCAGCTTCCAGCTGCGCAGATTGCTCCGCGTACTACAGTTGCACTACGAAGTCCACAGTCCCGCAGCGGGTTGCGCCGGACAGACACAAATCGCACTGTCGCCCGCATTTTGCCCTCAACACGCACGATCTCCGCAGAGGGTTGTCCCGGACCGGGTCCAATCGCACTGTCGCCCGCATTTTGCCCTCAACACGCACGATCTCCGCAGAGGGTTGTCCCGGACCGGGTCCAATCGTACTCTCGCCTGCATTTCGCGCGCTCGACACGCACGATCTCTGCAGAGGGTTGCCCGCCACCGAGACAAATCGCACTCTCGCCTGCATTTCGCGCACTCGACACGCACGATCTCCGCAGAGGGTTGCGTTTCGTGGCGGTGCGGCGGCACTGCCCCGGGCCTAAAGAGAAAAAACTAAGAAGAGCGAGCGGTGAAAATGTGAGATGTAGATGTGAGGATGTGAAGGTGAGCAGAGATGTAGATGTGAGGCTGCGAAGATGAGCAGAGATGTAGATGTGCAAATGTGAACATGAGCAGAGATGTCGATGTGTGAATGAAGATGGAGATGAGCTGAGATGTAGATGTGAGGACGTGAAGATGAGCAGAGATGTAGAAATGCAGATGTGAAGACGAGCAGAGATATAGGTGAGAATGTGATTGTGCAGAGGTGAAGATGTGAAGATGTAGATGACGTGTAGTTCTGCAGATGTTTTTTGCGAAGAACCTTTCGCAGGCGCTCTCTGCTCGTCAGATGTTTCCCGCTCTTCGAGCTGCTGGACCAGCAGGTTTGCCAATAACAAATTTTGTAAATTTTCCAAGCCTTCAGGAACCTTCTGCGGCCCAGGCCTTCCTTAAAGCCAGGCCATCCTTCGTAAATTCCTGAGAACATGACCCACGCACAGCAAAAACGAAGCAGGTCCTTGTGCCTTCCTGGTTTCTTTACCAGTTTCGCCTGGGACAGTCAAAGATGCGTGCACTTATGATGTGTTCACAACAGCAGAAGCGGCAAAATCAGGCAAGCAGCAGACAGGCACGAGCGAGCGGCAGCAATGAAACACCAGAGCACCAGGAGCTGCTGCGGCAGCAGAACAGAACCTGCAGATCAGCAGCGGGGCAGCGCAGCAGGAGCAGACCGGCTGCCAGCAAACCAGAAGCAGCAACAACAAATGCGGCGTGCAGATGCCTAAAAGTTCCTAAAAACATGGAACATATGTTCCAGGACCCTAAGGCTCTAAGAAACTGCGATGGAACCTGGAGAAAGTATATCCATATACTGAGACGCTGGCTCATGTAGCCTTCCTCCACCCATTTCTTGTGACTCTCCCTCAACATGCGTTGCAGCAAAGGTGAGCCAAGGCGTTCGACAATGGTATCGCAGCTCTCGCGATGGAAACTCTCCTCAAGAATGGGGCCATGAAGGTTGGCGCGTCCCGCGTAGCACGCTTCACACAGGTTGAAATTTCAGTGCATTGGCTGCAGCCGGACACGCCCATGGCAAGAACCCGCTGCTTCAAAGTTCTTGGCACACAAAGAGTGTTTGAGGGTGAGTGACCTTGGCATATTCAGCAAAACATGAGCATGACTTGGTTGATGCCATTGTCAACCTGTTTCAGGTTGCAAAAAGGACTTGGCATTTTGAAAGGCCTGCGGAACGAACACACCGTTGGTTTAGCGTGCGCGCTTGCACGCACAACGGCAAATTTTACGAAGTGCTTGAACTTTGCAAAAGAGGCCCGTTGAGGCAAGTTATTGAATGTGATAAAGATGATTTGAACCTGCCAGACACCAGAGGTGCAGCACAAGTTAGTTGAGCACGTTGTGCTAGCATCTCCGAATATCCGGTGTGACCCGAGGCCGCACAGTCCAGATGATTTCCATGCACTCTTGGAAGTGCAAGCGGACCTTGAGCTGTTCCAAGAGCTCGTGTAGGCGGAAGCAGATAAACGAAAAATTGTTGATGCCTTGCATCTGGTTGGACAGACTTTGGCAAAAGAGGGCATCTAATTACCGCCACATGTATCCCAACATGTATCCAAAACTTGAAAAACTGCGCGAAGAAATGTTTTTTGGACAAGGCATCTCCAAGGCAGAATGGATGCAGGGTTTGGTGCCACATGAAACCCGTCGACTAGAGGATATCTTTGGAATATCTTTGGGGAGTTCCTGGACGAGCAATGCAAGTCAGCTCAACCACACAGTCAGGGCATGTCACGAGGTCGAGCTGAAGTGCACCCGGCACGTGGTCCAGGTCAAGGTGATTGCTGCTTTGTGGCGGGCCGTTTACGCTGACTTGGAACGAGGTGATGGTCTTTCAACTTCCACTTCATTTGTTTTGGGTGACCTGCAGGTGAGCGAATCTTTTGTACAGGCCGTGTGCGACATGACTCACAGGTTAGTTTCCCGGAGGTGAGTGGTTTCTTCCAAATCGCACGCTGCAAACCATCATCACCTCCTGTGCATAGTTCGGCCTGAAAGGTTTGGAACATGAAGGCGGAGTCAGCCTGCGACAACACTAGGGCGACAACACTAGGTTGTTTGCCATAGCTTCACTCCACGGAAGCATTTGAGATTGGACCCTTTCCCAAACCCGAGCCTCAGTTGGACACATCTTGTAATATGCAGCGCTTTGATATGCCATTTGCGGTTTGGATGTTTTTTACAACTTATCATATGCGCGTCAAGGGGCTTCTGTTGCTTGCAGTATTTCGGCTCACAACTGCCCGGTTGCAAGTGCTTGTGGGGGTTAACCTGCTGCACGATGCTGTTGAGGTGGCGTGGAGTTTGGACAGCTGAACGTGAAAAAGTGCAATGATTCTCGCATCGCAGCTGGGCAGGTGGCGATAAATAAGTATGCCCAGTTCTGGAGAATCGTCTGATGAGGCGTCAAGTTGTTGCCAGTCGATGCAAGCAATGCACGTTTTGTCCATTTCTCATGGTCAGGAGAGCAAACCTCCCACTGCCGAAGAAGTCGACGAGCCGATCCCTGATCTTGGGATATTTTGGGTTTGTGGTGCTATGTAGTGAGTTCGTTACCCGTTTGTGGCGAGTGCGCTGGTCCTTCCTAAGGTTCATCCGACACAACAAAGTAGACGCAGCAACCTGAGCATGCAGCCGCGAGCCCTGTTTATCCCAGTGATTTTTGTTCAATTGAGGAACGCGCTGCGCAAGACCTGAGAGAATGCCCTCCCGAGGTTGTGCGTCACAGCGTTTTGCAGTGACAGAATTTAGGACAGATCAGCTTTTGGACGTTCTCTGCAGGTCCAAAAGCGCGTTCTCTGCAGGGGAGATTTGAATAGTGTTGGTGCCCCAGCCGCCATTGGCCATGACAACAGGGCACAGTTCAATGTTTGAGGCGCGGAACCCCTCTGCTGCCGTGCTCGCCGAAACCTAATTGAGAGATGAAGAATAGGTCTAAAGGAGAAGAGAAACGAAAATACAAAAAAGAAAGAGGAAACGAAAGGTCTCAAATGGGCTATCAAGGTCGAACAAATACTAAGAAACAGAACAAATATGCAATTGACCGATGCTGAGGTTCGGATTCGTGATGCGCGCGTCGAAGAGCGGCCGGGCGGGAAAGCGTCCCGGCCCTCAGCCATTTTCAGCCACTAGTAGCGTCCTTGCTCCTAGTAGCTTCTTGCTCCCAGTAGTACGGCCAGGAGCCCCTAGTAGCGTTCAGCCACTAGAGTCACTAGATGCCATTGAGATGCCATCACTACTGGGGTGGAGGCCATTGAAATGTTATGAGATGCCATATGGGGCCTACCTGGTAGGGATGTTACCATATATTTCAATGGAACTGGCCACCTCAATGAGGCCCAGACCCATGGGTTTGCCCAGCAGCTGTTCCCTTAGCTCAGATCTTGAAGGTGCAAAGGATATGCACACTGAAAGTCCCAGAAAGGCCTAAAGAGAAAGAAGGTTCTCACGCTTGTTCGAGCACCCAGGTGCAGAGGTGAATGGCTACCTCAAGGCGAATGGTGTCAATGAAACTGCCGCGGGGGTCTCGGGTGACTTGCATGAGGTATAGTCACAGATAGTCACAGTGCAGTGCAGAAAGCTAGTAGGTTGGAGGCCATCGCCAGTAGGTTGAATGCAGTTCCGAAAGCTAGTGCCAGATACTAAAAGGCTTTAGGTTGCCCTTCATTCGGCTTACGCCTCATGTTCTTTGAAACGAAACATTTTCTACGTATAGCAATCACAGCTTGCGCTTGCGATAGCAACTCCCCCAAGTGGGACTTTAGAGAGTATTTAGTATTTCTTTGCAGGACTTTAAGTTTGTTTTTAGGCATTTTGGGGTGGGCAATGCTCTAACATAAGCGCCTTCTTTGGGTCGTTGACTGAAAGCTGTTCCTAGTAGCTTCTTGTTACTATTAGTAAGGCACTTGTTTCTAGTAGCTTCTTGTTTATATTAAGTACAAACATGCAACGAATCTTGAAATCAGGCTGCGGCCTTGAGAAGCTGTTCTCCAACGGTGAAGCGAGCAGTGCTGTCGAGCGGCGATGTGATAGGCCGGTTTCCAGGAAGCCTCCACCCTAATAGCGTCCTTGTTACTAGTAGCGAGGCCAGGAGCCCCTAGTAGCGTCCCTACATGAATTCTAAAGAATTGCACCTGAGGCGCCTATGATCCTTCTGCGGCTCTCATGGTGGAAGTCTCAGAGTCGATACAACACCAAGTTTGTAGCTATGGACTGGATGCTCAGGCAGATTGAATTATTGGCCGGCAGATGTTTAGGAATCCCCAAACATCTCCAAGCCAACATGCAAAACACACACAAGGGTCACAAGAGTCTTAGAAGACCATGACTTTCACCGGTCCAGTTTCTTTTGGCAGCCACGTCTCTGAACAGACATGGTTTGCGGCCAAAATCGATGGCCTCGAGGCCAAAATCAGAGATGTGAAAGCCGGCGGCAGTGGCAACGTCAGTCCCACCGGCTCTCTTGAGCGATATGTCGTGGCGAGTGCAACTATAGTCATTCCAAGACATAGTAACAAGGGCATTGCTACTGGGAGCAAGGGCCTTACTACTAGGAGCAAAGAAGCTACTATTCTCAAAGATTTCGTGACATTTTGTATGACATATCATCACGAATTAGACGAACGTGATGAGGGATGAGTCCCAGATAGCTGCTTCCTTTGGAAGCAAAAGAAAGACCTGGCAGGTTTGGCTCCTCCAGGGATGCCACCGCCGATGCCAACTGTGCACAGCTCAGCCTGTCGCCAGTCTGTCGTGGACATTCACACTAGGGTTTGCTTTTGTTTCTGCTTGGCAAATTTAAAGCTAGGTTGGAGGCCATAGAATTACATGATTCGCGAATCAAAGAATTGCAAATTGGGGTGGTTCTCGTCTCGAATGCGCACGAACACATATTTCAACTCAAAGTAGGCAGAAGAAGACTGAGGCAGACGAAATAGATGCATTTATCGACAACAACGACTTAGATGAAAGTGCCAGCCTCAGTCATTCAAGAGTTTCAATGCAATTCATATTCGACGATATGATTTCCTTCGATGATCTATTATTTACGTATTATATACCAATTAATTCCCTTTTTATTTTATATATTGATTGTTCTATTAATGTTATTCTAGTTCATTCTTTTCTGTTTCTGAACTTCCTCACGAGAGCGAGAGTTGTGACCCGATTGAGCGACCTCACCTCAGGTGCCGAAGCGCAGCTCAAGGTGGGCAGACATTGTCGTCTGTGTTTACCTAACAGCAATGGCCTCCAACCTAATAGCAAACTGCCTGGTGCCACTGGTTGCGGCATTAAGGGACATGGAACTTTAATGCCCAGTTCCAGGCGTGTCCACCATACGTGATTGCGCTGGTGCTGAGCAAAGGGGACAGTGACAGCTGTTTGAAAGGAATTGCGGCAGCTTAGTTCTTTGGCTTAAAAGCATCGCGGCATTCTAAAAGCAAACAGATATGGCCTCCAACCTAGAAGCGCTTGGCATTCTTGTTGTGACGCTTCAGCTTGACCTGTCTGGTGTGCAGGACTTGCGGGGCACCCGCAACCCTTCGTCCGCTGTGCTATCACGCATTCGGGATGCCAAGGCGCAGCAGCTGGACACATCTCATACACCGGGTTGTTTTTCAAAGCAAGCACAGTTCTTCTTCAAGTTCCAGATCATTCTGAGCTTGAGAAGCGGACGGCAGCAGTTACATGAAGCATTCTTGCAAGTAACGTGTCTGGCTCTGCAACCCTTTCACTGAAGGCCGCACCACCGCCAAAGCCTCATTTGTGGATGTTTGATGGGCCATGTGCAGTGGATGCCTCGACCGAATCGGTATGCAACCTGCGGTGTTGTTATTGATTGCACATGGCATGATTTGTGCACGGAACCGACGTAAAATTACCATGTAACTCCATCCAAAGAGTAGGACATCTGTTCAATTCTTTTTCAATAAGCAATGTTCTTTTGAGTTACTAGTAGTGATGGCCTCCAACCTGCAAGCAATGGCCTCTAACCTGCTAGCGATGGCCTCCATCCAAATTGCGTTTGAAGATTGTGGCTACTTTACAACTTCTCTACATGGGCTCTTGCTGGAAATGCCTGCACAGCAAGGCAGTGAGTTTGCAATTGGATCAAGTGTGGTGATCCAACAGCTCTTCAACGGTAAAGATGCATCATATATGATTAATTATATGGCATATCGTGCCAACGAAGGCCTATGATGCCAGTCTGCGGCCCAGTCTGGGCTTGAGCCATTTCCACAAGTCACGTTTCAAGTTGAATGCTACTAGTAGCTTCTTGTTACTACTAGTAATGCCCTTGTTACTAGTGAATAGTAGCTTCTTGTTCCTAGTAGTAAGGCCAGGAGCCCCTAGTAGCATCCTTGCTCCTAATAGCGATGACCTTGCTACTAGACCAACTAATCTCCACTGAAGAGATTGATATAGCAGGCTCCCTTCCCTGGCCATCCGCCACCCTTTGGCTTTCCGTGGGGCCCTTACACTTGCATGCGGGACAAGCGACGGGAGACAGGAAACTGACCCCCCAAAGAGCAACTATGAGCAACTTTTTCTATAGCTACTAGGAGCAAAGACGCTACTAGGGGCTCCTGGCCTTACTACTAGGAGCAAGAAGCTACTAGGTTCCTCGCTATCGCTTGCGCTTCATTTCGTTCAATCTCCGTGTCTTTGTGGTTGAAGAAGCTGAGAGAGTTGCCTTGGAGGCCACCGGGTGCGCCTTTCGGATATCCTCCGCAGCTTGGCCAAGAGGAATGGAGAGCAGCCAATTGAAAGAAAGCCTGTTCAAAGTGCGGAACGCATTCCCGACCGGCGTCATGCCCGGTTCCGTAAGTAATAAGGGGCAGCTAAGTCCAAGACTTAAAAGAAGAAAGAAGAACGTAGAAAGAACAAGAATGCACAAAAAATAAGGTTGAAGGTCAAAAAACATGAAAGAACTTAAATGCAGAAGGGGTCAAAGTGAACGACATTCTTGTTTGCATTCGGGTAGGACCGACCTCTGCGGGACGCTCTGGTCGGTGAGGCCTCACTTAGCACCGCCGGGCTATCCGCCGATGTATCCTCCACCGGGCCTTCGCCTCAGATCGACGCCGCGCCGATTGATCGGCGGTAGCACTGTACGAGACAAGCGGCCTTAGCAGACGCGCACTGTACAGGCAACCTAGAAGCAATATGAAGCAATGGCCTCCCTAAGAGCACTCACAGCACTCCTCCAAATCCTATAAGAGATCGACGATGATGAACGCACTCTTGTGAAAGCAAAAGGCCAGGGCCCAAGGCCTTTTGGCGAGGGCAAGAGGTACTCTTGGGCATGGCGGCACCTTCGTGGGCCTAAGCTACATGTGGTTCCTTTCTCATACACATCACACGCTAGTAGTAACAAGTGCCACGCTAGTATTCACAAGTGCCACGCTAGTAGTAACAATGTTCGCTACTAGGAACAAGTGCATCGCGACCAGTAACAAGAAGCTACTAGGAACAAGTGCATCGCTACTAGTAACAAGAAGCTACTAGGTGGAGAGCATGAGTTTCACAATATGGTTGGAGTGCAGTCGTGGTGAGGGGGTTGGGTCATCCAATGGGAGTTCGGACCGGCTAAACTGGCAGTTGGAGGTACAGCCACAGAGAAAGGGTTGTGTGAGGGTCCGGATTAGCCGTGCTAGATGTTGTACTGGCATGTATTGGCATGCTGAAGGGGCACTTAAAATGGCCTCCACCCTAGCGATGGCCTCCAACCTAACTTGTTTTACATGTTGGTCCAGGAAAAACTTCAGCTTGCGTCCAGGTTATCCTGGACCTCCGGGCTACTATGCGCCACCTGGCTATCCAGGCCAAGTGTTTGCCATAAATGTGGCCTCCACCTAGTAGCTTCTTGTTACTAGTTGTGATTTCTGGACAGCATGGACCTAGCATTCATGACATGTGACGCATGGACTCCACACAGGGTACACCAGCACGTTCGTCGCTACCGCAAGGGCGGGATCAATGAGCCAGAAAAGCATGCTGGCATAGCGCCTTCGCGTCCGTGCGTCGTCGGTCGACGCCACCCGTGTTCGGTTGTGCTACCTTCATGGTAGCGGAGCCCCCAAAGCGGGGCTCCTCGGTTCGCCATGGTTGAATCTGCTGCAGTCCCGACCTGGAGTGGGGACCCTTCGGAGTTTGAAAGCTTCGTGATAGCGTGCCGCTGGTTTGAAAAGTCGCTCAAGCCGAGCGAGAGAACCCAAGCTGCACCGAAGATTTGGGCTCGCTTGACTGGACCTGCAAAGGCCGTGGTTAAGCACCTAGATCCAGATGAGTTTGCATCGGACGAAGGACTTCAGCGTTTGTTGACAGTGTTGAGGACATCTCCCCTTCAGCAACTCCCAGTTCCTGACAGCTTCAAGCGCCTAGATGTTTGGCATCATTTGAAGAGGGGTCAACAGGAAAGCATTCCAGAACTCCTTGTCAGGGAAGAAGATTTGTTTGTGCAATTGCAACAGGCCCTCAAGCGTGCAAGACAAGACCGCAATTTGTTGTCGCACGCTGACCTTGTTCGAGACCCAGTTGCACGACCTCCGCCTTCAACGCCATCCCAAAGCCCCATCAATCTGACCGGATCCCGGTATGCTGACCGGATCCCGCCAGATACACCGCAGGAGGCACGGGATAGGGCACCTGGTGGTGACGCTTCGACATCAGTTGTTGGTGATTTTTTGAAGATGAGTTGAGGGGGTACCGCCTCTTGAAGGCGGCAAGACTGTCGACGGCTGAACGTCAAAATGTTTTGACGCAAACAGGCAACTCCACGGCATTCCACATGATCAGAAGAGCATTGAGGACTTTGTTTGCCACCGAGGAGGATGCCGAGCAATCACGGGGCTGGACCCGAAAGCAGCAGGTATGGTGGAACGAGGACGCTGGTTATGACCAATCGCATGAGGATCATTGGATTGAAGAATGGCCCTATGACGATTGGTATGGCGATCCAGGGCATGATGAAGAAGCCTACTGGCACGCCTGGCCAGGTCACGATGAGGAGTGGATGGAAGATTCACCTTGGTCAGAATGGCCACCAGAGGAATTGCCAGTTGCAGAAGGTGACGAAGATCCACTTGAACAGCAATATGCTGAGGCCTACACCTTGGCCAACGAGGCCCAAAAGACCTTAGCTGAGGCAAGAGATGCAGTGCGCCGAGTGCGCCAAGCTCGGGGCTACTACGCCCCTGAGTCCATGACAGGCAAGGGCAAGACAAAGTCGCCGGCATCAAGCCCTTCCAGTGGAGGCAAGAGCTCATTTTCTGGGAAGAGCGGCTGGGGACCTTGCTTCATTTGCGGCAAGCCAAACCACAGTTACCGTCAGTGCCCTGACCGTTTTGCCAAGGGTCGATCGACTTCGCACAAGGGCTCTGGCAAGGGATTCGGCAAGGGCTTCAAGGGAAAGTCCAAGAAGGGCAAGGGTTTCGGCAAGCCAATTTTGTTTCATTCTTTGACAGTTCCCCTGTTTCCATTGCACGTTTATTTCAAGGAACAAGTGCAGGGCTGTCGTGTGATCATCGATACAGGGGCATCTGAGAATGCCGTCGGCTCCACCGCTCTCCAGCACATGCTTGAAGCATCAGGACTGGACCATGAGGTGACCACGGCAGACCGCCCGGTTTTTCGGTTTGGCAACGGCCTACAAGCTCAGGCCAAGAGCCGTGTTGATCTGAAGGGAACTTCACTGGGCTCGATTTCCTTTTACGTGTTGGGCAATGAGGCTCACCAGACTCCGCCACTCATGGGCGGAAAGACATTGAGAGAGCTAAAAGCAATGCTGGCCTACGAGCGCAATTTGTTTCTGTATCAAGCACCTCATGAGGAGACATGGTCAGCAGTTCAGATGGCACCGCATGCATCATCACATGTTTCCATTGATTTGTTGGAGAAGGCAGTCGCAACAGATTTGAGTGTTTTTGGTATGAGCAGTGCAAATCAGTCAGTTGTGGAACGTGTTTCTTTGCCACCAACAGTTTTGATGATGTCCACTTCTTGTTTGAGTATGCCATCAACAGCCGATTCCACTAGCACCTTGGCTCGAAGGCTGGAAGATCTTCGGACCCGGATCGCTCGACATGGACAAGGCCAAGCTGCCATGCGCTGTGGACGATCCAAGAGCTCTCAGCAGCTTCCCCTGCTTTGGGGAACACAAGCCCAAGATGAGGCAGAACCAGTACGCCAGCTGGACGACATGTCAGGCTTGCGGCCTGCGGACCAGCTATGTGAGCAAGAAGGACTTCGAGGGCGACTCGAGGCACATGGGCCCGCACCCGCACTTGATCAGTGCAGCCCTGGAGCAACTCCGTCAGACCATGCCGGCAAGTCAGGTGAGCGAGAAGATCGTGAACGGCAAGGTCATGGAGCTCAAGGGCACCCAGTTGCAGCAGGGCCTCACGAACACCCAGGCCATCAATATGACCTTCCCGGAGTACTGCAAGAGGATGGGAATCTCAACGAAGTCAGACCCAACCTCTCCGGCAAGGGAGAAGAGCCCGGCATCTCCGGCTCCAAAGGCCAAGATCCATCCGACGGCAGCGGGACTTCCAATTCCCCAGACGGAGCTCCTGAAGATGGCAGCAGCCAAGTTCCTGGAATCCTTGGACCCAGAGGAGATCAACGAGTTTGTGACGGGCCAGAAGTCCAAGGAAGAGATCTTGGCGTCCCGAAGGAACATCAAGAAGGAGCCCAAGGAGGATGTGGTGTTGGGAGCCATCTTGATCGCATCATCGGAGGAGGAGCCGGAGGAGGTGAAGAATGCACCCGGAGTCGCATCGGGCAACTCTGGTGCTCACTGAGGAGCTTGCGAGAAAGGGCAGCCAGTGTGATGAAGACTGGCCACGACATCACGTGCACCACGCGCACTACGAGCACTACGAACGCATCGGCACCTTTGGGTACCACACGACATGGCTCTCCAAAAGAGCACATAGACTGTGCCATCCAGTTTGAATCTGGCATCAGTCCTGGTGGAGGAGATGAGAATGAGGCCGCAAAGGATCTCCCTTTGCCCGGGCCCGGAGGTGGAAAGCGAGCTGGTGTGGCTCCATCAACGGCAAGGAAATTGGCCACCAACATGGCAGTCATTGGGGCCCTCATCACAGCACCGATGCATGGCCTGTTTGGCATGATGTCCGACCAGGCCGACTTCTGTGAGGTGGCATGCGCTCCGACTTCCTCTTTGTCGGAATGCATGGCTTCGATGGGCTACAACATCCAGCGCATCAACTACAAGGAAGGCTTTGATTTGGAGAAGAAAGAAGGCACTATGAAGTTTGGTGAACTGATGTCTTCGAAGCCTCCAAGACAGCATGGGTGAGCCTTCCATGCACCAGATTGACAGGTTTGACCAATCTGACCCAACGTGATGAGTATGAGTGGGCAGCGTTTGAGAAAAGGGTGAACCGTGATTTGAAAAGAGCAGATGAGGTGGTGCAAAGTCTGGAATCTGTTCTGGCAAGTGATGGTCATGTGAGCTGGGAGTGGCCCACAGGTGCATCCAAAGGCTGGAGATCCTCCGCAATCAAGCGTCTTCAGCGACTTTGCCAGAAACATCGTCGACCATTGTTTTGGTGCAAGTTCCACGGATGTGCTTATGGTTTGACCTACAAGGGCTACCCTGTTCAGAAGAGTCGGACTGTCTGCACCACAGATCGAAACATTTGGTTGGCACTTCAAAAGCGATGTCCAGGTCATGATGAACACGTTCATTGCCGGGGCACCGTGGCTCAGGCATCGGCCTACTACCCGGAGAAGATGGTTCAGGCCGTCTGCAAGGCAATCGAGCAGACATGGACCTGGGCAGACAATCAAAGCTCATGGTCCTTGACAAAGGACATCGAAACCTACTTCATTGACCTTCGCAATGGTGCCAACAACATCACGGTAGAGCATGAGGGCATCCTCATGGAGGAGGAATCAAAGGAATGGAGATGGTATGAGCAGTTGGCTCGAGAGGAGGACCCGGCCATTTTGGCCATTTCGAAGCGTCGTTTTCCTTCCGAAGCACCAACTGGCCGGAGATTGGAGTTGATCAAGGCTCAAATGCTTCGGGTCCACAAGGCTAGTGGACACACTTCCATGGCCAACCTTCAACGACTTCTTCGAGCACGTCATGCTCCAGACTGGGCTGTGCAGTTGGCGGGCAAGCTCAAGTGCCCAGACTGTGCAGAGTCAAAGCTCCCTGCATCAGCACCTGTCGCCTCCCTCAATGAGACGCCAGGACTTCTGGAAGTTGTTGGAAGTGACGTGTTTGAGTACGAGTTCCAGAACCACAAGTACAAGTTTATGTTGATGAGGGACCGTGCAAGTGGAGTGGCCATGGTTGAGCTTTTCAAGAAGTATGGCGGCCCTGAAGGCCCACCATCATGGGAGCCAAAGTCTGAGGATGTGATTCGCATCTTTGGCCGTTGGATGATGTTCTACCCTGCTCCCAAGTGGTTCCTGACAGATTCAGCGACATACTATACGTCGCAGCTGGTGATGGACTATGCCGGACGTTCCGGCATCGGCTTGTTGACTACGCCTGCTGAATCTCATCAAATGCTTGGAGCAGAGGAGGGTTGCATTCGCATCCTGAAGTCGACGGCCGACCGTCTTTTGAAAGAAGGGCCAAACACTTCCGTTGAACTGGCCATGATCTTGGCAGCTCATGGACACAACCAGTCCATAGGACCTTCTGGATATTCACCTTTCCAATGGGTCCGAGGCTCTTCAGCACCTTTAGAGAACATGCCGATTGGAGTGGAGCCCCGCAAGGCATTTGACGGCATGCTCAAGCTCAAGGAGAAGGCAAGAGTGGCTTTTGAGATGGAATCTGCACGAGTGCGACTTTCGAAGCTTGGCAACACAGTTCCTCAACCTGTTACCTCCTTCAAGGCTGGACAGTTGGTGATGCTATGGCGGCAGAGGAACAAGCCAGGCAAAACGACAGGCGCATGGATTGGACCAGTCCGACTTCTTCTACAAGAAGGCAACACCTTGTGGCTGGCAACCGGAGCAACTCTCATCCGTGCTAGGACGACTCAAGTGAGGCAGTGCACTCGTCGTGAGGAGATGAAGTCCATGCTTGAGGGTACAGCCATCCTCAAGCTTCCTGTCACGTTGGAAAGTCTCCTCCAATCCTTCACCGGACGACATTTCTCAGATGTCACTGGTCAGGTACCTTCTCAAGAGCAGCTACAACAAGATCTTCAAGGAGCTGAGATCAGACAGATGCCACAAGCTGTCTACAGACCAGACACGTGGAAGATCACAGAAGAAGGTGAACGTCGATGGCTCATCCGTGTGCACTCTCTCCCACGGTTGGCGATGTTCACACCATCACGGACTACATCATGCCCAGCAGCAGAGGATGAGTTGACAGGTCGTCGCATTACAATCCTCCGAGGTCTTCAAGAGAACTCTGAACAGTTCGAGATCAATGATGACTACAAGGAGTCTGAAGACCCCAATCGCTCTTTGCAAGACCGCTGGGTTGGAGAGACCAAGTTTGAGATGAAGCAGTCCGTGCCCAAGCCTGGGCGTGAGAAAAGAGAGAAGCCGCTCCCTGTTGACACTGGCCAGAAGAAGTCCAAAGGAATCAAGGCTGGCACCAAGAGGAAGAGCGAAGCGGCACAAAGCAGCAGTTCCAAACGAGGTCCAGAACATGAACCACAAGATGAACAACAAGGATCCGTGCTGCCAGATGTGCCGGGAATTAGCCCGTTGACTACCGCCCTTCGAGACCGCGGTCCTTGCGCAGTCGATGGCGTTCCGGGCGTGCATGACAAGCCTCCGTGTTCCACATCGGAGTGCAAGCTTCCTGGAGGCCATAGTGGCCCCCACATGGATGCAGATGGCTCGCAGTTTACATGGTCCAACCAAAAAGACGGCCGTGTTGATGTTGAACCTCAAGCTGAGGAGCTCGAGGTCCCAAGTGAAGTTGAGTCCGAGGAGTCCGCAGCCTCTTCAGCAGAGCTCATGACTGAGCGAGAGATCCACTTGCTGCAGGACACCAATACAACCCCAAAGAGCAAGACTCCCGAGGAGGTATTCTATGCCCTTGAGATCGATGTCTCGGAGCCAGATCTGAAGTTTTTGTCGAAGCACCCTGCCAAATCCTCTATTTGGCTGTCTCGCAAGATGCAAGAGAAAGGACGAGAGCTTCGCTGGTCACAGATGACATTGGATCAGAAGCAAGAGTTTGACATTGCCCAAGCACGTGAGCTTTCCAATGTTCTTGGATCCAAAGCCTTGAGGTCTCTGTCTAAGGCTGAGTTCGCATCACTGGACCCCAATAAGATGCTCCAGATGCGATGGGTCCTGACCCGCAAGGCGTCGGGTGAGGCGAAGGCTCGCCTAGTCGTGCTGGGATTCATGGCGCCAAACATTGGCGAAGTGGAAACAGCGGCACCTACCATGGCGTGTTTGTCCAGGAATCTCCTTTTGGCAATTTGCGCTAACAACGGCTTCAACCTACAGGCTGGTGATGTGACAGCTGCATTTCTACAGGCCGAGGAAAGCTTGGAATCTCAGGAGCTGAATGTTTGGACTCCGGCTGAGCTTGCAGTGTTGTTTGGGGCCGATCCGAACCATCCGGTTATGCCGGCTCGGGTCTCCAAGGCCTTCTATGGTTTGGTGCAGTCGCCTCGATGTTGGTTCAATGATTTGTGCAACACAATGAAGAGCATTGGTTGGGAGACAATCCTGGGAGACCGCTGCTTGTTCGTGTTGTTTGATGACAGTCGCAACCTGATCGGCATTGCAGGAGTTCACGTCGATGACGTGTTGATCGGTGGCTCAAGTCATCCAAAGTTCACTGAATCATTGCAAGCTTTGAAGTCAAAGTACACATGGGGCAAATGGGAGTCTGAAGACATGGACTTTGCAGGTTGTCACATTCGTCAAAGCCCAACCACCAAGGAGATCCGCATTGACCAGAAGGACTACATCCAGAAATGGCTGGATGAGATGGAGCTCTCCCCAAATCGCTCCAAGGAGGTGAAGTCCTACCTGACGGCCTCAGAAGTGTCCCAACCCCAACTCCGAGGTGTTCTCGGATCAGCTGCCTGGAAGGCCAGTCAATCTGGCCCCCACTATGCTGCAGACATTGGTTTGCTCCTGAGCGAAGTTCCATTTGCAACAGTACAGACAGCATTGAAAGCAAACAAGTTGGTTCGCGAAATCAAGCGCACTTCAGAGCAGTGTTTGATTTTTTCCACATTGGGGATCACACTGGCAGGATTTGTCGATCATCACATGGAGTGACGCTGGCCAACAAAACAGGCCCGACAAAGGGTCGACGCTGGGAGTGTTGTCTGGACTTGCCCCCAAGGGCATTTTGCATGGCGAGGAGCACATCGTGGCAGTGTTGTCGTGGAAGTCGGCAAAGACACCGCGACAGGTGTTGGGAAGCAATGGAGCAGAGATCCAAGGGATCACAGAAGGCGAGGACAACACCTTCAAAATCAGGGCCATGTGGGCCGAGCTGCATGGCGTAGTGCTGGAACGCCATTCCATGTACCAACAGGTACGAGATTGCACGACAGGAGCAATTGTCATGGATTCAAGAGGCATTTTTGATGCCATGTCCAGGAATGTTTCAGCGCTTCACGGCTTAAGGTCGGCTAGGGCAGGATATGAACTTTCAATTTCTGTACAGCAAGCCCTTCAGATTTCAACAGCTCTCCGCTGGGTGAACGGGCTAGCTCAGTTAGCCGATTGCCTCACGAAAGGCAATGAACGCCGTTCCTTTTTGCAGTTCCTGGCAGCCGGCCAGAAGTGGCGCCTTGTAGATGATGAGAAGTTCACTGCAGGCCGAAAGCTGAAGAAGAAGGCTTTGCAAGAAGCCATTCGGCACCAGCAGGAATTTTTCGTGAAGGTTCTCGAAGGATGGTCCTCTGAGAACAAATGGTGCTGGGAACCCGCTTTGGAGTCCAGAAATGGGGTTGATGTGATTTCTGGACAGCATGGACCTAGCATTCATGACATGTGACGCATGGACTCCACACAGGGTACACCAGCACGTTCGTCGCTACCGCAAGGGCGGGATCAATGAGCCAGAAAAGCATGCTGGCATAGCGCCTTCGCGTCCGTGCGTCGTCGGTCGACGCCACCCGTGTTCGGTTGTGCTACCTTCACTAGTAGCGTCCTTGCTCCCAGTAGTGATGCCCTTTGTTACTAGTAGCTTCTTGTGACTGAAGCTTCCAGTGTGGACTTCCAAATTGTATAGCATTGTGCTGCAAAATGGAGACGCATGTCACGTAGTCACGCAGCATCACACAGCCACCATTTAGAGACTGGCTAGCTGATGCCATGGCAATGGCCTTTGTGCTTGCACCTGAGCATGGACATGTGCGCCATTTATGTTTAAGACCGCAGACCCAAAGACAGCAGATGCACTGCTGCATTTAGCTCTCCACGCGCGTCGATGACATCGAAACATTGATTTGTTGCCACCGGAGTGTACCAGGCGTCCGGACTCAACTTGTTTGGATCATGGTCGTCCGGGTTTGAGCCGAGGAGCATTGGACCATCGCAGTTGCGCTCTCTTTGCTGCGCTGTGGCCTCCGCCCAGTTGGGGCGGCACATCTCGGTCGCGCGCGCTGCACGCAAGAAGAGCAAGGGCGGAAAAGGCAAGAGCAAGGGCGGTGCACCGTCCTCGACACCAATCCCGTCCTCGGGGAGTGCAGCCCCTGATGCATATGATCAAGAGACACGGGACATTATCCTGTCCTTGGACCATGTGGAGAAGAAGGCTCAGGATGGAAGTTACATCTTGAAGGACGTTTCTGTGGCTTAACGCATGTAACCCCAAACGAGTACTAGCAGATGTTTTACTCAAGTCCCTTGAAAGGCATGTTCTCTGGTTTTTTTGCTCGGCCAGGACGTGTGTTTGGGCATGTACATGGGTGCCAAGATCGGCATCTTGGGGCGGAACGGAGCCGGAAAAAGCACCGTGATGCGAATCCTGGCTGGGCAAGACGATGAGTTTCAAGGGACACTCCACATGGATCCTGAGATCCGAGTTGGATATTTGCCTCAGGAGCCCGTTTTGGAAGAGGACACGGTGATTGAAACCTTAGAGCCCGCGGTGCAAAATGTCAAAGACATGGTGAAGAGATTTGAAGATGTCAGCATGCAAATGGCCGAGCCTGATGCTGACATTGACGAGTTAATGGTGGAGATGGAAAAGCTTCAAACAAAGATTGATGCCATGAATGGATGGCAAATCGACGAGAAGCTCGATCAGGCCATAGGAGTTCTCTTTCTCTTTGCCAGTTGACATTTCATCATTCCAAAACATACTTCTTCTTGTTACTACTAGTAAGGCACTTGTTACTAGAAGCGATACACTTGCTCCTACAAGCGTTCTTGTTACTATTGCTAACCAAAAGAGATCAAAAAAACCCGTTTGTTTGCCTGCTTGCCTGCTTCTGCACCGCCAGTGTCTTAGTTTGAGCTATGCAGGCCATGGAAGCGCTCCGCTGCCCGCCACGCGACGCGAAGATCGCGACACTGAGTGGCGGCGAGCTGCGCCGTGTGGCCATTTGTCGGCTGCTTTTGCCCCTCAGAGATTCACAATGCATTTTTTTCATGTAAAAAACCTACAGTTACAAGTGCATCGCGACCAGTAACAAGAAGCTACTAGGAACAAGTGCATCGCTTCTAGTAACAAGTGCCTTACTAGTAGTAACAAGAAGCTACTAGGGGCAGGATTTTGTTGTGTGGGCCCTGCGGCCATCGCTAGTAGGTTGGAGGCCAACCATTCCACTCCCTTGTCGATCATGGGAGGTCCCAACCAGACATCTTGCTGCTGGACGAACCCACCAACCACCTGGATGCGCAAAGTGTGGCATGGCTGGAGCGATTCCTTGCAGACTTCAAGGCGTGAAACTTCAAAACGTCTTTGAACATGAAGCCTTTGATGTTTTTTCTGGCCAAAAACTGGAAAACCATGAAGAACCATTGAATAACCATGAAACCCACAACAGCACAATGTAATTCGAGCTAAGCCAGCTGAGCTGTGTGGCCCAGGGCACTGTGGTTGCCATCACGCACGACCGCTACTTCCTCGACAATGTCGCGGGCTGGTCACCCGCTTGTGAAGTAGTCTGACATGGGCAGTTGAATGGGAAGGGATGCGCCTTATGAAACAATCACAGATAAACCGTACTGTATAGTGCTCATTTTTGGGAATTTGGTTTCCAAACCGTATAGGTTTGGGGTTCTCTGTAGGTTGGAGGCCATCGCTAGTAGGTAAAAAGGGCTGGCAACAGTAGCCGTGGCCCCGCCATCCGCCCTCTTCTCCGCTTGTCCGGCCTTGTCCACGTCCACACCCTGTCCCCTGCGGTTGAGCTGTTTTCCCTTTCTCTACCACCTTGATATGAGTGCCGCCAGGGTAAATGCAGGGCCCCAAATTTGATATCACTCCGTTCCGACAAAAGTAACTATTTTGCTAACAGCTGGCGGTCATAGGAACATATTTTGCAGACGTTTCCACCAATACTTGAATTCAAGGAATTACGCAAACAAAACAACTCCTGCTGAAACTGTTTGGATTTGTTTGGGGGCTATGCTTGTATAATCCATGTTTTCCGTCTCCCCACTTGCGAAGGATCTTGGAGCTGGACCGGGGCAAAGGCATTCCGTTTCAAGGCAACTACTCTGGCTGGCTTGAGTTCAAAGCAAACAGGCTGGCATCCGAAGAGAAACGGAAGGCCACCTTGGAATCCCAGATGGCCAAGGACGGAGTGCGGATGACCAGATGCGCCAAAGAACCCACCAGAAGGGTCCCGTCTCGATATTTCCATCCCTTCAGACTGCACACGTTTCTATCCCAAGTGGTTCCACTTTCTCTAAAAATTAAGCCGCACCGGGATGTCATGCAGAATGACTGCCGGCGTGTCAACCTTAGGTGCGTTAGGTATACGTTTTGGAACCCAGAAATCCAAACTTTAAACTTTGTCCTGGAGACTGATTCCTCAGAGAGAGGCTGCTGATCTCTGACTCTAAAACTGTTTACCTCCAGAATCCCTCAACAAGCTGCAGGTGAATGCTAGCTGATCATTTGGGTTGACTCTGGCTTCTGCAATCAGGTGTATGCTTTCTTGCTGCCAGCTGGACCCTTGTTCTTTCAAGCCTGCTGCACTTAACCTAGAGTTCGTAAAGAATCAGGGTCATCGGACCTTTCTTTGCTCTTTTCTTTTCTTACAATTTTAGAGCACGACCGCTACTAGCGCGCCTTAAGTTGTAGGTATCTATGCCGCTCCCGCACTTTCCTTGAACATCCTTTAATTCGCAAGGGTGAGCTAGTGATCAGATCGGGCCCGTTTTGGATGTGGGACTCGCTTCTTTGTTCCTAGTAGCGTCCTTGCTCCTAGTAGTAAGGCACTTGTTACTAGAAGCGATGCACTTGTTCCTAGTAGCTTGTTACGTTGTGAGGAGCTGGAGTTTATCAATGCCAATCGCAGTGGCAGGCCGGGTTTCCATGTCCACTGCACTGAGCGACTTGTCAAAACATGTTCAGTCCAGACCAAGGCAGAAGAAGGGCAAGGCACGTCTGCGAGCCTTGGAGGAATTCAACAACTAGGAGTTGGGTGAGTCATGTAGCATGAGCTCTTGATGTCCTTTATCAAGTGTCATGGTCATGAGTTACAAAGGTCATGGTGCTTCGTGGCTGAGGAAAATATGAAGACTTGGAAGCTGCAGCCGCATCGTTCAATCGCAATTCTGAACTGGATTCCATCGTGATCACTCCCGGGCCTCGCCTGGCCACTCGTCGCACATGGCACGGACTGTGCGGCCAGGCTCGAAATCGAACGGATCCAAGGAACCTTATTTCCTAGTAGCGAACCTTGTTACTACTAGTAAGGCACTTGTTACTAGTAGCGATGCACTTGTTTCTACTAGCTTCTTTGCTCCTAGTAGTAAGGCCAGGAGCCCCTAGTAGCGTCCTTGCTCCTAGTAGCGATGCCCTTTGCTCCTAGTAGCGAACATTTTGTATTCAAATGTCTTCCAAAAGTGAACTGAGGATCCAAGAAACGCAGTGGTGCAAGTGAAGCATGCCTCCAAGGGCTATGGTACTCGTCTACTCATTGACGATGCAAACTTCGAGCAGCTCATCTTCACTGCTTCATTGTGACCACCGGCCAGTCACAGACAACTCGAAACTGACGACGCGCAAACAAGTCAAAACAAAGACGAAAGACGCAAAGACACACCAGAAGGAGCTATAATTAGGGAGCTTCAGTGCTTGAGAAAAGTTTCGCGGCTACACTGGCGACTCTGCCAAGCGTTTCCAAACACCTTTGTTGGAATCAAACATTTGAATGATAATTTCTACCTACCTCTCACACCAGTTCCCCTTTCGGTTTGTAGAATTTAAACGTTGCATAAAGTTGCTATTCGGTTGGAGGCCATCGCTCTTAGCCGGTGCATCGGTGCCTCCAAGGATCCCACCTGGCTCGGTTGTCGGCATCATTGGCCCCAATGGTGCTGGCAAATCCACTCTCTTTAAGATGATGATGGGTACTGCAACACGACTGCGAATAGAAAGATGCGAGCAGAAAAGGAATGCAGAAAGCAAATTTACGGAGTAAAGAATCAAGGCAAATGTAAGACAATTGGACCCACCAAAGAGTTGAGTAGGAGAGAGGAAAAAAGGTCTTGCACTCTCTCCTTTTCAAAAACTTGCCATTGCAATGACGTTTGGTTGCATGAACCACTCACTTAAAGAAAGGACGGGTGGAGTCCATGACCTTAGCAAGGCTAGCCGCTAGCCTGGTAGCTTGTATCATCCAACTTATCTAAAGGCTTGTTCTTTTGTCTCAAGATTCCAACTGTATTCCTTTCTTTATACTTTGTCCTTTTTAGGAGGTCTTCTTTGCTTCTATCAGACGCTCTAAAGCAAGGAAGATTATTTTGGATGTGATGTGTGACTCATGTAATATTTTTGGCTGCGATCTTGTCATCCTCAGGAGACGCCTGACGACGGTGAGGTGATCTTGGGGAAGACTGTGGCTCCCATGTATGTGGAGCAGATGCGAGAGGACTTAGACAGTAACCAGGTGCATCGCTACTAGTAGCAAGGGCGCTACTACTATCTCCTGGCATTACTACTAGGAACAAAGGACGCTAGGAGTAACAACTGCATCGTTATCAGTAACAAGGGCATTCCTACTAGTAGCAAGAAGCTCCACATTGCGAGAGGACTTAGACCCCAATTCCACCGTCTTCGAAGAACTCACAGACGGACTTGAGTCCTTTGACATTGGTGGAAGGGAGGTGAACAGCAGGGCTTATTGCTCCTGGTTCAACTTCAGAGGCTCAATCCAACAGCGGACTGTCTCCTCCTTGAGTGGTGGTGAGCGAAACCGCCTACAACTGGCCAAGACCCTCAGAATGGGTGGCAATCTGCTGATGCTGGATGAGCCCTCTAACGATCTTGATGTGGAGACGCTGCGGGCACTAGAAACTGCCATTGAAAACTTTGCGGGCACCGTGCTGTGCATCAGTCACGACCGCTGGTTTTTAGATCGCATTGCCACCCATATCATTGCCTATGAGGGAGAGTCCTCTGTGAGATTCTTCGAAGGAGGTTACTCCGACTATGAGGAGGACCTCCTGGCCAGGACTGGCAGTAAAGATCCCGTGAAGGTCAGCTACAAGCCCATGCCATCCTTTGCTTAAGACGAAAAGGGTTGCGGGACGAAAAGGGCCGTGTGTCGCTACTGCTTTTGGATGCTTCATGAGAGAGTGGGGTTTCTGAACCTAACAGAAAAATGCAAAAGGCATTTTGTCTATATCCACTGCATTTGTCCAGGCCCAGCTCCATATGGAGCACCACCCGGCGCGCTCCTCAATGACTTGGAGTTTGAACAATTTTTGGGACTATTGCTGCTCTAAAGGGACGGATGCTACTAAAGGGGTTTTTAGGTCTCCAGCCAGGTGCATTATGCAGCTGACAAGTCTCGGA